CACCCATTAGGTTATTATATAAACAGGAACCAAAAGTAATGGACCAGAAATCTGTAAGATGGCGCCGCTGCCTCATTACACGGAAGCATAATATTGAGTTTTGACAGTTTTGTAAATTTCTAAAACAAATTTTTAAGTGTGTGAACAACCTTGCACCAGAAATATTCTGTCAACTAGTAGAGAAACAAAAGAGCGGAATAAGAACTAGAGGCACAGTAAGTGGAAACTGTAGAGCCGCAAGACGTAGAACAACATTTGGTTTTCAGTAAGAGGCAGAGTCCAGCAGGGAGACAGCTGTAGGGACAAAGCTGTTCCTGATCCTGGTGGTTTTTGTCCGTAGGCTCCTGTAGCGCCACCCAGAGGGCGGGAGGGCAAACAGTCTGCTGGGTGGCAGGAGTCTTTTCTGATATTTATTGGTCTCCTGAGACAACGCTTCCTGTTGATGTCCTTGATAACTGGAAGAGAGGCTCCAGTGATGCAGTTCTCGAGGAACGGACTCATCACACAGCCTTGTTGTACGCCAGTGTTAAGAGTGATGGTAGAAGAGCAGTTGTGGTCCATCTGAACATATTGGGGCCTGTTGGTCAGAAAGTCCAGTAACCAGCTGCAGTAGAAGCTCTGATGCCCAGATCTGTGAGTTTGGTGATTAACTTGCAAGGGATAACGGTGTTAAATGCTGAGCTGAAGTCTATGAACGGCGTTCTTGTCCAGCTGTGAGAGGACAGAGTGCAGTGCTATGGAGACTGCATCTTCTGCGCTCCTGTTTTTACGGAAGACAGGATTTGATATGTGCCAGAGCCATCTGCTCTAAGCACTTTGTGATGATGTGGGTCAGTGCTTCTGGGGGGTAGTCGTTGAGACAAGCTGGAGTGGAGCGTTTTGGCACTGGCATGATGGAGGTGGATTTAAAGCAGGTCGGCACAACAGCATGGGCTAAGGACAGGTTGGATAAGTGCGTCAGGATCCCCGCCAGCTCCCCTGCCCGTGCTCTGAGCACACGTCCAGGGATGCCATCAGGACCTGCAGCTTTGTGTGCGTTGATCCTGCTCAACACTGCTCTGACATCAGTGGGGGAGAGCGTTGGTGGTCAGCAGTCGGCACTGCCTTGGTTGACCTTCTCGAGTTGTTAAGCTCGTTGAGGAAGGAGATATCAGAGGGAGGTTGGTGGGCTTGTGGTCACTGATGACCTGAATGCCTTGCCACATACGTCGGGGGTTGGAGTGTAGCTCCCAATGTCTGTGTGGGAGTGACAGGTCGTCTGATTGCCAAACATAATCCAGTTTGCGTGTTTGATCCGGTCTTGCAGCACAGAGTCTGTCCCCTCAGGCTACACTTCCATTGTCCTCGCTTTCGGTTTCACACGTTGGATTAGTGGTGAATACATGTGGAGGAGGGGTGAAGCTTTGTAAGCTCCAGCAATGTTGGAACAAACTTGATCCAGTGTGGCGTTCCCTATAGTGTGGCAGGAAACATGTTGATGAAATCTGGAGATGTTAACTAACTTCGCGCAAACAGGCTTCACTTTTCCAGCAGGCGGGGAAACAACAGACTTTTCTTGGTCTTGAGAAGCCGACACTCTGTAACAGACGCAGCACATTTACTGCCAGAATATTTTCCCCTGCCCGCAATCAAACACTAACTACGCACCTCCTGACTGGGAGTCATGTCACCTGTCCAGTAGATGACGAATGAGGGGAGGAAGCGAGCCAAGCCGCGATAAATAATGTTGTATGTGGTTCTCGTACGGCGTAACATGAAGACTTCACAGCCTCTCTTCAGTAGGACTCTCATACTGCAGCACTTTGTAAAGAGACAAACTGACAGGATAAAGTCTCTAACCTGACTGTCAGCTCGCTCTGGGCCAATTCACTTACCGTAAAGGCTGGAATACGTGTGCACTCCAAATGTTTGTGCGGCCAGCTTAATCTCTTTCTCACAGACGAGAGACAGAAACGGAAACAGTTAACGTTCCCGTAGTTATAAAGAAACATACTTTGGGTTCTGCTGTAGATTACAGAGTGTGGCTGCTGTTTAAAAGAGAGCAGGTTTCAGTTTGCCAGACGACATTCAGCTGCATTATTCTCTACAGTTTAAGTAGATTTAACTCTGGCCTCTGGTAAAACTGTTAGATTAGAGCTGCTGTTAGGTTAGGATGATTAATGTCAGCCTCGTGTGGGATTAAGTGCCAGATAAATCAGTCTAATGGTCGGGGTGTATCAGGTTCCAGTTATATAAGCAGATTGTTTTCCTTTTTATACAGTTGATATCTTCTCATGCTGTGTTTTTTAATCCACTTGCCATTAAACATATTAACCTTGTGTTTTTGTGCAGTTTCTGTGAAGTTAGTTCTATAAATTCTATGTCTGTTGTGTCAAACTCGTTGTCCTGCTGCCTTTCTTGGCCCGGGTGCCCCTGAAAAAGGGGTCTTTAATAAATTACGGCCTGTAAAGCAGTCCTGGGATTTATTACTGGTGTCTCAGATTTAATTGCACTGCCAACAAAGTATAAACCCTTTGAGTTAAAGGAGACCTTTTTATACTATAGTTCTGTGACTCCTCTATGGCAGCTTTGCATGATTCAAAGTTCAAAAAAACCAAATCTTCTTATGTTTTCATGTATCCGCGAGCCTGTACGCAGGTTAAGCGGTTGACGATCGTTGGATGGATGTTTTCATGTAGGCCTTCATTTCAGCCTCTGTCTGAAACAAGCTGTAGATCCTGTCTCTCAGAACAGGCACTTCAAAGCAGAGCGTTCAGAACAGGAGGAAATCTGAGGTTTTGGCTCACAGGGATTTATTTTAAATACACTGCTCAAAAAAATAAAGGGAACACTTAAACAACACAATGTAACTCCAAGTCAATCACACTCCTGTGAAATCAAACTGTCCACTGACTGACAATCAATTTCACATGCTGTTGTGCAAATGGAAAAGACAACAGGTGGAAATTATAGGCAATTAGCAAGACCCCCCCAATAAAGGAGTGGTTCTGCAGGTGGTGACCACAGACCACTTCTCAGTTCCTGTGCTTCCTGGCTGATGTTTTGGCGGTGCTTTCACTCTAGTGGTAGCATGAGACGGAGTCTACAACCCACACAAGTGGCTCAGTAGTGCAGCTCATCCAGGATGGCACATCAATGCGAGCTGTGGCAAGAAGGTTTGCTGTGTCTGTCAGCGTAGCGTCCAGAGCACGGAGGCGCTACCAGGAGACAGGCCAGTACATCAGGAGACGTGGAGGAGGCCGTAGGAGGGCAACAACCCAGCAGCGGGACCGCTACCTCCGCCTTTGTGCAAGGAGGAGCAGGAGGAGCGCTGCCAGAGCCCTGCAAAATGACCTCACAGCATGTGTCTGCTCAAACGGTCAGAAACAGACTCCATGAGGGTGGTACGAGGGCCCGACGTCCACAGGTGGGGGTTGTGCTTACAGCCCAACACCGTGCAGGACGTTCGCCAGAGAACACCAAGATTGGCAAATTCGCCACTGGCGCCCTGTGCTTTCACAGATGAAAGCAGGTTCACACTGAGCACATGAGACAGACGTGACAGAGTCTGGAGACGCCGTGGAGAACGTTCTGCTGCCTGCAACATCCTCCAGCATGACCGCTTTGGCGGTGGGTCAGTAATGGTGTGGGGTGGCATTTCTTTGGGGGGCCGCACGGCCCTCCATGTGCTCGCCAGAGGTAGCCTGACTGCCATTAGGTACCGAGATGAGATCCTCAGACCCCTTGTGAGACCATATGCTGGTGCGGTTGGCCCTGGGTTCCTCCTAATGCACACAATGCTAGACCTCATGTGGCTGGAGTGTGTCAGCAGTTCCTGCAAGAGGAAGGCATTGATGCTATGGACCGGCCCGCCGTTCCCCAGACCTGAATCCAACTGAGCACATCTGGGACATCATGTCTCGCTCCATCCACCAACGCCGCGTTGCACCACAGACTGTCCAGGAGTTGGCGGATGCTTTAGTCCAGGTCTGGGAGGAGATCCCTCAGGAGACCATCCCCACCTCATCAGGAGCCCAGGCGTTGTAGGGAGGTCATACAGGCACGTGGAGGCCACACACACTACTGAGCCTCATTTGACTTGTTTTAAGGACATTACATCAAAGTTGGATCGGCCTGTAGTGTTTTCCACTTTGATTTTGAGTGTGACTCCAAATCCAGACCTCCATGGGTTGATAGATTTGATTTCCATTGATAATATTAATTATTATTAATAATTTGTGTGATTTTGTTGTCAGCACATTCAACTATGTAAAGAAAGGAGTATTTAATGAGATTATTTCATTCATTCAGATCTAGGATGTGTTATTTTAGTGTTCCCTTTATTTTTTGAGCAGTGTATTTTAACCTCCATTATTTGAAGCTTTGTCCATGTTTAATATCCAATATTCTACCATTATAGATAAGTCACAAAATATGGAAAAGCATAATAGGTCTTCTTTAACGTTAACACATGTCAAGTAAGTTAAAGAACATGGTGCAGGAAAAAGCTGTGAATAACAACATCAGGATGAAGAAGTGAACCATGAGGCACCAAGTGGAAAAACACTGGTAGAGGAGTAATGAGTGGAAAACATGGAGTGGAAAAGTACCCAGTAGAAGGTTCCAGAGGATTAAGATCCATATTTGGGGAAGAGGGCAGGAACCTTACGAAGGCACCGCCTGAACGGGGGAGGAGCTACAGGGCTTTAAATGTCTGAGCACAGCAGCTCCTCTTCAGTTCGTCTGGAGGCCTGTGGAGACATAACAGCAATAAAACCTGTGTTTTTTGGACTCTTAAGTTGCTGTTTATGTTTTACAAAAAGTTTAAAAGTGATAAAGACGCGAGCTGTTTCTCAGTCTGCATTCTTGTCTGTTCTTGTGAAACGTCTGTTCTAATTCAAAAGTCTGCATCTAACCAAGCACAGTCAAATACCCGGATGTGTTCTTGCACCGAGCGTCTTACCGAGCCTGCGGCGGTGGTGACTTGTGTGGATTATCCCAAAAAATGCATTTCGCCGCCAAAAAGCAGAAATATCAGAGGAGAAAACTCACAACTGTAAGTTATTATACTGCTGTTCTTGTGTCACATTTAGTAATTTTAAGAGTTTTTCATGCGGGAATATAGCCGTTTAAACGTTTTCGGAGGTCCCGCCCGCTAACGGGTCCACGACGTGCTCCCGTTCCTGGGAGTTTGTACTCACGAGTCGAACTTGCCAAGTCCGAGCTTTAAAGTACAGAAGTCCGAACTTGGCGAACTCGGTTTTGAGAAACAGCCGATGTTTGGGTTTCCAGCTGGTGCAGACCTGAGTTTCTTTCTGCCTCCTGTGAGGTCGCCCCCTGCTGGCTGTTAGAGAGAATGCAGGTTTAAGGGAACTTCACAGCCGGAGGTTCCTGCTCGGTTTATTCACGTGTTGCAGGAACGTTCTCATGTAACGATCTGATTTCACTGATGTGTTTTATTAAAATGTTTGCTGGTGTTTCAATCCAGTCTCCTGTCTCTCTTCCAGGACTCGACTTCTCTCCTCAGCATGGAGACCACAGCAGATCCAGGAAACCGGTTCACTCACCAGGTAACAAACTATGGTTCAAGGACCCCCCAAGGGTCTCCAGGATTCCTGGGCAGGGTCACATCTGAAAATAGTTACTGGGAGTTTATTGACTGTTTTAGTTCTTTTCAGACATGAATCTGTAACTTTGCTCTCTGTCAGAGGTTTTCTTTGGTCGTTGCCTCTGTAACGCAGGTGATACAACCAAAAATGTTATCACGCTAAAAAAATAGCGTTCGATATTGATAATTTATCGGGATAAATGCCAAACTATGATTTCTTTCAGGTTTAAAGGCTGATTTTTGCTCCTGAGTGAAAGTTAAAGGTGGTTTTCTGGTCAGAACATTTATTGAACATTTGTTTTATTGTTATATCGTGATAATTATCATTATTGTTTTATTGCCTGGCCCTAATGTACATTTATTCATTTAGCTGACAGGGTCTTCAGGCAGCTTGGTTAACTTTATGGTAAACTTTATCACAACTGGATGAACATCAAACTTGGAACAGAACGTTTTACACCTCAAAGTTAACACACCCTCGTGATGTTACTCTGCTGGGTGGGTGCGTCCTGCTGATACGGATGGGTGTGGGGGTTCCCTATCAGCTGTTCCACAGTTGCACAGGTGAGGCCTGATAACAGGGAGGTGGAGCTGGTGGATAGTGTCAAGGGGGAAGGTATCAGAACTGTCCCTTTGTCTTTCAACAGTAGGCCTCATTTAGTTTGTTGAGTCGTAAATGGAGTGGGGGGGGCTTTAGCTTTGTAATTGGTGGTCCGTGGCAGGGACCTGTAGTGTGAGGACAGACCTCTACCTTGACACCGCCTTGCTAAAACCTGTACTTTGTCTTCCTAAATGCCGCCTCCCTTTCCAGCCTCAGCTGTCAGAGTCCGGCTGTGGATCAGGGTTTGTCGATCTTATAACTCACACTGGTGCGTGATGCACAGCTGACCTCGCTGCAGCTGATGTAGGACGTCACCGCCGCCTCTGTGAGCTCATCCAGGCTGAAAACGTCCCGGCCAGTCCAGTCCAGGTGGTTCGACCAGTTTGTTGCGACATGAGAGAGAAATATTCCCAGGAACAGTGTGGAAACTGCTCCGACACGTTTCACTGAGCAGCTGATGAGGGGAAAAACAATCTTGTGGCGTTGTTCCCCTGATGTTCATTTCAAACTTATTATTTATTTATTCCCATCGTAAATTGTTATGTTCTCATTTCTGCAACTTCGTTAATTGTGCTGCTGCCTGGAGGACTGGAGGACAGTCGTGGTTAAATAAAGGTATAATAGTATGAAAACGGTGAGAGTGCATGTGTGTGTGCATGTTGCAAAGAAAACCAAAATAAATAATTCTATTTATATAAAAGTGACAAATAAAAAGCAAAGTTACGGAGCAACATGGCAGCCGGACTTGGCGCCATCTTGTCTGATATGAAGAGCGTTCCTTCAAACAACACATGTTTCAGGAAGACACTCCTTCACCAAATGTTCTTAGGACACATTTCTTTCTCCTGTTTTCTTATTTGGGATTTGTTCTCAGGTTAAAACAGAATCTACGACCATCTTACTTACAGCTGAGAGCTGTGCAAAATAAGTAGTTATTCCCTTTTCTTCTGTTCTAATTTAAATTAAAATATTTCTCTTATTTACAAGTTTTAAGTAATTATATTTATTATTTTGCACCAAATCTTTAAAAATAAAAAATAAACACCCTCCTGGGACAGATGGCAGAGAGCAATTAATAGCTGGTTTGTAAATTACAGCTTTAAACATAATTTTTCTTTTACCGTGTGTTTTATTTTGTTCTAAGTTGAATCCTCCTCACTTCCAGTCAGCCGCAAGCTGCTGATAATGATTCTTTATAGCTCACAGTAGCCGTTTCCATCACCGTTTTTTTTTTTATGTGCACTGTGAAGTATCACATTAGAAAAGGTTGACGGAAACGTCAAAATACTTAATTTAACAAAAAGGTTTTTACACTCGCTTGAGGTGGTTTTTGTCGTAAAAGAAGTAATGGGCTGAATGAGAGATGGAAAAACTGTTGCCGAATAAGTTCTTACGTAGCAAACTGGGGCAGCAACTAATGATTATTTTTATAGTCGACTAATCTGTTAATTATTTATTCGCATTATTTAATCTCTCCCTGCTTCAACACAGCTGATTAAAAGCAGCTTCAGGATTCATAACGAGTTGATAGTTTGAATCAGCTGTTTTGGAGCAGTGAGATATTTAACACAGGGTTATTATCCAAATTAGCATTATTTAGATGTACAAATATTGATAGTGGTAGATACTTTACTCTGAGTAACTGGGACCAGAGCGCTCTGTGGGCGTGACTGGCGGCCGGCTGGCACCGCTAACTCCGCAGGCGCTTGTGGAGCTTCTCAACCCCGAAAACCTTTTGAGCACATTTTGGATTCGCCATCAACTTTCATAAAACTGCCAATATTTGAATTCTACACAGTTGATTTCTCACCTCAAAACCTCTCAAAAGTGTATTTAGTGATGAAATGGCTACAAAAGTTGTCTTTCTCCACTTCTTTCTGCTTCTCGTATGAAAGCTTCTTCTTCGTGAGTAGTCTTACAGTCAAGCAGTCATGGCAGACAGTGGAAGCGATACCCCAGCACTTCCCGTAGTGCATTGCAGTGAGACATAAACAAACAGAAATGTTCTTAAAGGAGACCTATTTTACTGGTTTACCAGTCCTGTATTGTAGCTCTGTGACTTCTGTATGTCAGCTCTGCATGATTCAATGTTCAAAAAAATATTTTCTTTTCTTATACTGACTCTTCATGCAGGCCTTCATTTCAGCCTCTGTCTGAAACAAGCTGTAGATGCTCCTGTCTCTTTAAGGCCCCCCCCTCTCAAAGCCCACTGTCTTCTGATTGGCCAACACCTGAATGTTACCAGGCTGTTGTTGTTGCTGGGCGGAACAGGCAGACTGAGCGTTGCCGTGGGAGCGGCTCCTGGTGTCGTGTTACCGACCCGTTGGTAGAAAAGCAGTTGAAAACAGAGTTCAGAACAGGAGGAAATCTGAGGTTTTTGCTCTTTTAAATACTTTAACCTCATTTTTTGAAGCTTTGGACATGTTTAACATGAAGATCCAACATTATAACGTTGTAGATGAGTCATAAAATGTGGAAAAGCTTAATCGGTCTCCTTTAATAAGAAGATTGCTCTCTCTCCCTTAAACAGCCTCTCTGTAATGATGCGTCGACAATGAAAAAAGATTTATATTTTTTTAATTTTTCATAAATTTCTGTAAGCGTCTCAGAGACGGACAGTGTCGAAGCTGCGTGTCTCATCTCTGCTGCTTTAAATCCCCGGCTGACGCTGCAGGCAGAGCAGACGGAGACTTGATTAGGAAGTAATTTAAGAAAAAAACGTAGAAAGATACTGAATAAGTGGTGAACGAGGCCGAGTGTTAACTTCTCAGCTGGTCTCTTAATATTATATAAACAGCGGCAGAAGAAGTACTCAGATCCTTTACTGCAGCCAAGATACTAATACTACACTGTGAAAAAATCCTGCATTCAAACCTTCCTTCAGCAAAAGCACGTGAGTATTATCAGCAGCATGCAGTAAAAGTACTCATGTTGCACTAAATGTTTCTGGATTAATATTCCTGCTACATTAATGTGTATTTTAATGCTGCAGATGTTTTAACTCCTGTTGGGTAGTTTAATCTGCAGCAATGCATCATGGTCTATAAGATCATCATGTGTTTGAGCTGAGCTAAAGCCAAACATCATAAGAACCTACAGTCTGTCGGCCTCAGTGCAGAAAGTAGAGCAGCAAGTAAATATAAAGTAACACAAGCATCTAAAACGGGTTCATCTATAAAACTTGGTGGAAGACATAACTGTGAGCGTCAGAACCAGACTGACCCGTCCACACTACTCTGTTTTGGTTTAAAAACAGTAGTGTGGACGTATTCGAAACAAATACGATCTCCGTCCTCAGCAGCTGATCTCCGTCTGTACTAAAACCACTGAAAGCGCGCATCTGGTGGCCGTTCACGTACACAGATGGTCTGTTCCGTAGTTACAGAAGATTTGGTGAAAGACTAAAGTACAGACAAAGAACCAGGTTTTATTTAGCATGGAGCAGTAACGAGCTGGGACGGTTACTGAATGTAACGCCAGAGTTAAAAGTAACGGCGTGGCGGCGGGAAACGGACTGAGAGTCGCCGCGAAGTAAATACAGAGACCCGCACAGAACAAGTGGAGGCTGTTAGTGTTGTGAATTATTTTGGAGCATTATAGCCTAAATTGTTATCATTAATTACTAGAGTAATGGTGGTCTACATTGTCATCATTTAAAGTGTTATTTTATAGTGTAAAGTTTAACTACTGCGTGTTTAATGAGTGTGTTCAAACTCATATTTTATTCTTATACTCTGTGTGTTTATCATATTTTATTCTTATATTCTGTGTGTTATCATATTTTATTCTTATATTCTGTGTGTTTATCATATTTTATTCTTATATTCTGTGTGTTTATCATACATTATTCCTATACTCTGTGTATTCATGAACGTGTGCTTTTTAATGAGCCTACACGAGCAGAGAAGCTGCTCAGGCCGCGCAGGCAAAACCTAGCCAACCGTAACCCACTCAATGGAAGCAAGGCACATGCAGTAAGTCACGTACGCCAGGGCTGAGATCATCGCGAACTGAGGCCAAGAATGAGATCATGACATGTTGTGATTAATGGCGCCTGGTACTGCATGAAACCAAGCTTTGCGCTGCCGAAAGTTAACTTGTATGAGACAAAGCACTCTCATGGTTGGCATTGTTAAATCATGTATTTGTTCATTGAATCACATTATACATGTATTAAATATGTTATTCCTTATTAATTCTTTTAAAAAATACGATTGTAAGTGTTTAAGTTTTAATGGTGTCAAACTATGCCTGTATAACTTTTAAAAAATACGGTGGGACTGAAGTTGAAACATATTAGTGGATTTCTAATCCAGTAATATAAAAAATATAAAGAGAGATAAATGGTAACAATAATTACATGTAATAATAGTTAAAAAGTGGAAATTGTAACATTAATGAAAGGGTTAATTTGGTAAAACAGTACAAGAAAAAGGCCACTAGAGGCAGTAGAGGATAGGAAATCCACCAAAGGGGAGGAATGGTCAGCGAACACTATAGGTGGAGTTAAGATGTAACGCCCACCTAGAAGGAGGAGATAAGGAGGAGTTAAGATGTAACGCCCACCTGAAGGGAGGGACAAGGTGGAGCTTAAGGTGAATATAAGGTGATGTTCGCTGACCACCAACTCGGTTCCATCCTGAGACCTGCAGGGATGTTGCTCGGGTTTATCTGTCCTTTATTGGAATAAACTCTTTTGCACCGACTCTTGACCGTCTCCAGTGAAGTTTTGACTACGCAGTTTTTTGACTAAAGAAGAAATCTAATAGAGTAATTTTATTGAGTTTATTACGTTGGTTAGGGTAGGGACCAGGTCTTTCACTGGCCCGGCCGGTCCTTATTTCCGACCCGACAGTAGGTGTTATTTACACGGTACAAATATTTTAATAAAAATACCAAATCTAAAACTCTGGCAACAGCATCTTGTTTCTGCTTTGCATGACTTATTAGAGCCAATCAGAGAGCCGAGCGTGAGTGTCTGAGTCGTCGTTTCTAAAGTCCTCCGTTTTTGCCCGTTAAAATGAAAAACGGGGTCGGCAGCGTTTTCAGACTTCTCCGCTTTGATGCTGCAGCTTTAGTTTCCCTGAGCTGCAAACTGCAACCATCAAGATTAAAACAAAACGGCTTGAAAAATATTTTCATTATTCTAAAATACATTAAAAAATTCACTTTTTGAAATAAATTGCAGAAATTATTTAACTTTTCCGTGGTATTATCCATATATATATATATATATATATATATATATATATATATATATATATATATATATATATATATATATATATATATATATATATATATATAATTGTTATTCAAGTAAGATTTCCGGGATTTTTCACATTTTGTTTGTGTCTCAGAAAGAAAGTCATAAATTTCCTGATGGATGTCGATCCAGTCGAGGGCTGTTCTCCTTATTCAGCTGCTTGTTGCTGTTTTTACTAACAGACATCCGTCCTGCTTTTTCAGCCCAGTCGGGGTTTAAAGAGTTAATTGAGCTCAGACTATCACCAACGCCTGGAGACGGGAGCTTTCCACTAACACGTCTTATCTCTTATCTCCTCAGTGCAGCAGCTGCGACAACTCCTCGGCCAGATGTTGGTGTCTGGACTGTAACGAAGCTCTGTGCGACGTC